AATCATTTTGTTTTATCGAAAGAACAATCCCTTACAATGAGCGTGAAGTAGAATATATGAGTAGAGTGTCTTACTCTAATGTAATTGGTTCCATAATGTATTTGATGGTTTGCACTAGACCGGATTTTGATTTTGCGGTTAGTACTCTCAGTATATACATGGCTAATTCGGGCCCTAAACATTGGCAAGCGTTAAAGTGGCTATTAAGGTACTTGAAGGGTACAAGTGACGTAGGTTTAAAGTTTAGTGCTAATGAAGAAGGTGTAAAATTGAAGGGTCTTGTAGATGCTAATTATGTGGGAGATAGGAATGGGAGGAAATCAACTTCGTCTTATGTGTTTACCTTATCTAATTCATGTGTTAGTTGGAAATCACAATTACAACACATTGTTGCACTAGCCACTACAGAATCAGAATATATTGCCACCACTGAATCTATTAAAGAAGCTTTATGGCTTAGAGGCTTACTCCATGAACTATATGTCTTGAATGATTATGTGGTGATGTATTCTGATAGTCAGTCATCTATATATTTGTGCAAGGACCCCCTTTTTTACAAGCGCACTAAACACATTGATGTTAGACTCCACTTCATTAGAAATATAGTATCTCAAGAGGTGGTAAGATTTGAAAAGGTCCACACACACTACAACCCTTCCGATATGAACATGAAGGTACTGCCACCGGTACAGTTTAGAAGTTGCAAGGAACTTCTAAACATTGGTATAGGTAAATAATTTCCAATTTTATTGGTTTTCTGTTAGAGGTGTCACTAATGGAAGACATTTTATTATTAGTATTATTATTTTTTTTGTAGGTCTTTTGACACCAATGTGGAGGTTGTCAGGCAATTTGTTGTCAAATGACCTCCTGGACAATGATGTAACCTCGATTTTATTTATTATCAGTCAGTCTTGGTCATATGATTGAACTATATGTCAACACTATCATCGAGACAACCCAACCCAAATTTCTACGAACCATTAGAAATAACCTATTTTAATAGTGTTGCTCGTGGCCCATTCCATTTACTTGGATGGCTACGATATTCATTTGGAGCCCATTATCTTTGTGCTGAGCCTTTTGGACCAATAAGTTAACCTACCCTAACTTACCTTATTTGGTCACTCTCTTGGGCTATAATTCTTGGCTCCCCTACGCCTCCAAGATATCGCCTTCTCTACCTTTCTCTGTGACTTCCTCTCTGCTCATTCTCGGCTTCTTTCTCTCAAGCAACCTGTGTGGTTTCTCTTGGGTAATATTGTTCTCATCTTGGCCGACTCTTTGTGGGTATGTCTCAATAATGGTGGTTTCGACTTAGGTGGAAACTGAGCTCGGTGTCACCTTAGGTATTGCTGGATTTTGGCTTCACAGCCTGAATCAAAACAAACCATTTTTGTTGCAAGGAGTAGAAAGTCGTTTCTTTTGAGTCTCCTTGTGATTGTATGAGGAAGGAGACATGGATTCTAGTCGGTAATGGTAACACCAGGTTAGATGTATATCTTGTTGGTGCTTGGCATGTAAAGACTTGATATGTCATATTATTTTTTGTGGTTTCAAATTGCCGTAGATGTCTTTAAAGACCAGCTTCCTCGGCAATTTGATCGTTTGTTGTAATGACATTGATGGTCTTTTAATTTGATCATTTTCTGTAATGATTTTGATGGTCTAAAATATAAAACTAGTGGAATGTATTTCATATGCTCAACTAGGTTGTGCATTCTACATGGTGACTTTGCATGAAGTGCGCGCAATATAATTAAACTCAAATCATATTCCCAAGATACTAAACTAGTATTAAAATTAAAATTAACTTTCTTCTTCGTTTTATTTTATTTTTTTTATTGTTTTCCTTCCAGTGATCAACACTTGTGCATACTCAGGTAGTCAGCCACTAAAACTAAGGCCCCATTTCGAATGGATTTTGAGAATTGATTTTTTGACTATTAGAAGAAAAGTGGGGTCTACTTGTGAGAAAAGAAGTCAAAAATTACGGTTGAAATAGTGAAATAACGATCAAAAAATCAATTTTTTTGGGTAAAAAATCACTCCCAAACAAGCTCTAAAATTAACTCGATTTCCAGCTTCATTTTTTTAAGACTTGGAGGTCTATCTTAAAGGGTTAACCGTGTTAAAAGGAGTAGCCCAAACTCTTATAAGTTGATCTATGTTTCTCTCTTTATTCGATATTGAATTTTATCCCTTAACATGTCCTTATAAGATTGTGACTCGTTTGAGCAAATCAATCTTGAAATTCATGTACTCATATTTTTGAGTTTTAATCGGGTCGAATTGTTCGTTGGAGTTTATTGAACTCTAATATCATGTCAACCTTGTTAAAATGAATAGTTCAAAGAGAAAATTACATAAAACCAGATATTAAAACTTTCAAATTCAAAATTAGGGGATGAAGTTTACTTATGCAAAAATTCCGTATTATATATAATTAACCTATCCAATTCAATTAAAACCCTAATCATTTCCCCCAAATTCTTCCCTTATCATATCTCGTCTCTCTCTCTCTCTCTCTCTACTTTATCTTTCGACTGTTATCGTCGTCAAGGAGCGACCACTACCGGAGACACCTCCGACTCCGAGTGTCAACACGAGACCATCAGAATTCAGGTCATTTTTAAATTGTAATAACCTATTCTCACTCTAACTCTCCATCTTCTCTTCATCTTATTGTCCGTATCTTCCTCGCGATACAAATCTACCCACTCCGACGAGTTGTGGTGGTGAAATGAATAGGCTATGGTGGTTGTTGAATTTGGTGGTAGTGGTGTGATTTTTTGACATGTTTTGTTGTGTTTTTTAGGTGGTGGCGGTGGGTTTGTGGATTCTTTGGTAGGGTGGTGGTGGTGTGCTATGCGTGGTGCATTGTGTGATGGTGGTAGTGGTGGTGTGCTGTGGGTGGTGCTTATGCGATGGTGGTGGCGATGGTTGTTGTGATGGTAATGACGGTAATGGGTGGAGTATCTGTGACCAATAATTAGGTGTCCGTAACCAACTATTTAGGCGTCTATGACCAACTATTTGACTGATTTGTGACTAAATATTAGGTGTTTGACTTGAAAATAATTCGTGACCAATAAATTGTAACTTATGTGACCCATAGATAAAATATGACATGTAATTTAAATGATTTGTGACATCAAAATAATATGTAACCTACAAACTTTTTGATTTGTGACCACGAAATAATTTGTGACCAATTAATTTAACGATATGTAACCAGTAAATAAATCTGTGACTATTAATCATGTAATTGTGACTTTATTATCTTTATTCAATAAATATTTTTAATTAATTAAATGCATACCTGATTTTTGAATTTTCAAACTATTTACTTGATTTTTTTAATTGGGGTAAACATAACCCTTGAGATGTGATTTTTTCCCTAGTTCAAATCCTTATAAGTTGGTCTATGTTTCATCTTTATTCGATATGTGATTTTATCCCTTAACACAATCTAATTAACTCGCAAGTTTTGAATCCTGTACCATAAAACAATAAAAAGTCACAAGAGTTAAATGTATTTTTTAGAACTAATTATTTCATTTATATTTATAAATTATAATATTTTATATCACGCCTCCATAGTATTCTTTTCTTTTTTCCTATTTTCAAAAATAGCTTTTCACGAGTTGTGCCGTGTGGTGTTTACGGTGTTTCCTTTCAACTTAGGTTCAAAGTATTTAATTGATGTAATATTATGAAATTTATTCATGATATCTGAGGAAGAGTAAATCGTGAAGAACTGGAGCGGAAGTTTGAACCATTTTGGAATGGGAAAAGATATCCACTTAACCCCTATACGACAACCATTATTTGAAATTTTTTTTTCCTATATACTCATTTTTAAATGCACATTCCCACAAAAATTATTTTGTACGCAAACTCAAAATTTTTCCATACATTTTAACCACACATTATCCTAGAAGTTACTATCCAAAACATTGTTTTTCCCAAATATGGTTGTCAAACAAAAATAGAATCAGCCACAAACCATCTTATTCCTCCCCTAGGAATCATAGTTGTTTAGAAGGATTGAGATATCAAAGAAAATTTTCTTGCACTGCTGATTGGTGCCTGGAAACTTGGATTTCTTGAGCTTTCCGAGTCATTATACATCCATAGTTCCAGATGGAAACTTTTTTAACCCTTAAACTGCTATGATATCGATCTTCTAAACATTATAGTTCGTGATGAGATATCTTGCGAAATTTATGATAACGGCATACTTTGGGTAGGAATTTGAAATAATACTAGTATATGATACCAACACCAGTGCAATTTTCCAAATTAAATGTTCTCAAAGATACTTATATCAAAATAATTTTCTTTTCAAATCTTAGTGCAATTTTGAAATCTAGTTTGTTCTTTTGATTTTGGGTCAAACGGCTAAATGCTAATATTCCCTTTCATTAATATAAATACCATTAACTTCATGTTATTGTCTAATAAATTGCATAAATGCATTTCTCATGGTAAATTTAAGTATCAGTAAATAATTTTTCAAACGTTTTATCCCACACAATTTTTTATCCTGCATCATACCACGATGTGCATGTCTCTATGTATATATGTACAATATGTCTGTTAATATATATATATGTATATATATTTAAAATTTTCAGTAGTTTCTATAATGTGATTAATTGGATTACGAAGAATATAAAATAATAAGTAAGCTGGTTTATTTTGGTTAGTGGATTAGTGTGAAGTCCACGAGTAAATTTTAGCTCAATCCTATGTAATTCCAACCATCTGATCAACCCAGGAATAAAGGGTCTAGATGAAGTTCAACTACATTAAATGCCTTTTATTTCATCAATAAATATTTAGGTAACAGAAATTAGGGACTGCGACAAAGATTTGCTCCATTGCATTCACACAATTTGTACCTCATTCTTTCTCCTATTTCCTATCTTCCCATGGAGTCGAAATGTGGAAATGATCATGCCACCCCTCGACCGATTGCGTTGTTCAATAGTAACATGAAACTCAAACTAGAAGAAGATTCGTCCATGCACATGAATTTTTCATCAAAGGGTCACCTTCAAGAATCCCAGTACTTTGATCTGTTTTCTTTAACAGGATCGTCATTCAATCCGAACCTTGGAAGCCAGGTCAATGGTTTTGATCCATTTGACCTCTTTACTCTTGTTTCTCCTTCGACAGATTTCGACTCCTACGATTTCAAGCCGTTTGAAGATAATGATGTTGGAATCATGCATAACTTCCAAGGTGGTGGATTCTTGAATTTCCAGGAGAGGAAATATCCATCAACGGGAATTGAAACTTCTGATCGTAACATTTTATCCTTAAACTGTCATGATTCTGATCTCCTAAACTTTGTTCCAGATGAGAGCTCATGTGTAACAGCTGGTAATGGCAATAAAAATGGTTTCTCAAACAAGTGGAAAAATAATAGCGGTGACAGTAGTAACACCATCATTGAAGATGAATCTGCATCAGCTAAAAGCTCTGGCCGAGCCTGGAAGAAGTCCAAATCAGCCAAGGGGCAGTGGACTGGTGAAGAAGACAGGTAGAAGAAAAAATTATTTGATTTTGTTTTGTATATTTATTGTTTAATTCATTAAAATTTGCATAATTTTCAGACTTTTGATCCATCTGGTGGAGAAATTTGGAGTGAGGAAATGGTCACATATCGCACAAATGCTGAAGGGGAGAATAGGAAAGCAGTGCAGAGAAAGATGGCACAATCATCTGAGGCCTGATATCAAAGTTGTATTTCAATTCATTCTTCTTCCTAAACCTTTTATTTTCAGTTTAGTTTTTTCCCGTTCCTCGATTGGTTTTCTCCCACCATCAATCTTTACTGATTCATACATATATTTCCTTTTTTCCTATGATGATTTTCTCAGTTGTGAGTTAGATAGATTATTGTAATGAGTAGGCTAGTTCACTGCACATGCTGATTTAGCATAAAAATAGCATGCAATATATAATTAAGTGATTTATACCAGAAAAATGTATCTGAAATGAGTTCAAAGATACTTATTTTAATATTCAAATAGGATTTTCCAAATTTTGGATACTCCCTGATTCAAGGATTTATATTTTTTCTTCTTTTAGTGTTATATTTTGTTGTTTTAGTGAGATTTTAAAATTGGTAAAAATTATTAATGTTTATTATTTTTCTTGAGCAGAAGGATGTATGGACTGAAGAAGAGGATAGGATTCTGATTGATGCTCATGCAGAATTGGGGAACAAATGGGCAGAAATTGCCAAAAGATTGCCAGGGAGAACTGAGAATTCTATCAAGAATCATTGGAATGCAACGAAAAGAAGGCAATTCTCGAGGCGAAAATGCAGGACCAAATGGCCAAGGCCTAGCTCTCTACTCCAAAACTACATAAAAAGCTTGAATTCAGAGAAAGGACTTGCTTCATCACCTACCGCTACAAATGTTGGAATCATATATAATGCTAATGCTTCAATGAAGAAATTAGAAAAGCCAGATTTTATGGATCTTTGCGTGCCAGATTATGATTTTGGTGAGGTCCCAGAATTTACATTGGATGATAAATTATTTGAAGGAAGTAGCATTGACAGTTTCATGGAGGATATATCTGGCGTTTCGCCTAAAATCGATGAAAAATGCTTTGATACTGGGTTGCCATTTGATGTGCCTCCATTCATGCAATTTGAAGGGAAGAAGGAGTTTGATCTGATGGAGATGATCTCTCAGGTTAATGTCTAGATATTTGGAATTTCAATCTACTACTTTTTTAAAGAGAGATAATACATTATATTTCCGTTTCCATTTGGGATAGCTCTTATCGAAGACACTAAAGGACATGTTTGATATGTCAGATTAGACATATGTTCGCGAGTCTCTTTATTAATCCTCTTAGGTCTTGTCTAGTTTGATGTTTTGAACTTGCCATAGAAGAAAATATGGATGAATAATATGTTCTTTTTAAGAAGAGTAATGTGTGTATACATATATTTCTCTATGCATAATTTGTGTTAGGAAAATTAGTTTGAAATTTTATTTCATGCCACTTAAATTTCCCAAATGGAGAATGCATTCAAACAATTTGCTAGTCAACAATATCAATGGCATTTATTATTCTTGTAGAGAATATTAAGTTACAACATTTGATTGACACTTTAAAGTGCATAATAGATTTCAAAATTCTTCTAAAAATTTGAAAAAAATAAAAATAAAAAATAAATTATTCTTCCACGTTAGAGTCCATTTTTTTAATTATTTTTGGCCACGATATTCTATTAGAATGTGTAAATTTAACAAGTTCATGACCAACACGATTGCTAATTTAGATGCTAGCAACTGGCAACTAATAACATTCTTCTTTTATGAACATCATTTATTTACGTGTTCAAAATAATTTTTGAAAGAACGAAAAATTTAAAACTCTATTTAATTTCTTTACTCGATGAAAATTCACCGTAATACTATTGTTCATATTGTTGTTACTATTTATTTACATTTACATTTACGTTTAGATAATGTTATTGACTATTGAATTGCTTAAATGATTTCTTATGGTAAATTTAATTATCATTAAATACATTTTCAAAAATGTTGACTCTTTAGCAATTGATTTGTTTCAAGTGTACAACTTGCCAATGACTACTCGTTGAAAAATGGTGAAATGACAAGTCATACTCCGAAAACTGAAAGCATTCCCTCCCCGAAACTATAACCAGATTGCCATTACAACAGGGGAAGAAAACAGTTTACAGCCAAATTAGAAGCATTAATTCTGGATGTCCAGAAAAACAAATAAGACAATCTCAGGAAAGCAAAGAAGCTAAGATAGAACCAAGAATTGTGATAGTGTTTTTCGATCTAATAACACAATTCCCCAACAAAATTGTCTGATTTAAGCCATCTTTGGTTTAATGCGCTTCACTCTTGAATACAAGAACACTCCAGAAAGGGCTACGCCAGTGCCTGTACCAAATGATAAATAAAATCAATTTCAAGTCCTGCAGAAATTGGTTGATTCGTTTCAGATCCTCCACAAGTTCATAGAAGTATTTTACCCAAAGAGTTGATAGGTGAAACTGGTGTACGGAAGAAGAGAACAGAGGTCACAATCACCACCACCCGCTTCACACAGTTACCCACAGAATGAGTAACTGGAGACACCCTCTGTAATATCATGTACGAAACCTGCATAACAACCCGTGTTAGCAATCTCATAATAATAGCCTCTTTAATATGATCTCCAACATTTATTTTTGACTTTTATCAAATTATCTAAATTTGATATCTTTTGGGTTCTTACGTCTGAAGAAATGCAAAAAAAAAAAATATATATATATATATATAGTGGGATGGCTATGGACTCTAAGTTGGGATTGTATATCAGTATAAATATCTTCTAAACAAAATTTTAATTGTGTCCCATTTTCCTATATTTTGGGAAACGGGTGTAATATGATGTAGATTTATGTGTTTATCTCTAGCATAAAGAGGACATCTTGTCCTCTTTTTCCAATTATTATATTTTCAATGAAATTTCCCCATTTCTAATCCTGATGGGTAGTTTAGTGCTCAAGCCTTGAGTTTGCTCTCCAATGGTCAACAGTTCGAGTCCCCTCAAAGTCACTGAAGTGAGTATCTGGCTGTAAATTTCAAAGACTCGTGGGATTAGTTAAGGTGCGAGTAAGCTGGCCCAGACACCCATAATCATCAAAAAAAAGGAAAAAAAGAAAAGAAAAAAGAAAGTTCCCATTTCTCATGAAAAAAATAAAATGAAATAGTTATGTTTTCCTGTTATAAAGCCCCTAGGAACATGTGATGATGATATATTAACTTAGAATCACTATTGCTCTAGATATTACACAAGAACTGTGCCCCTAATACAATAGATACCATAAATAAGAGCTGTTAAATAGACAGTTTTAACAAAATGAAAAAAGTAACAAATTATGGCTGCTTCAAACATGAGAAATATTATACATCATGACAATATAAGCATTCAGAAACTCCATGAAAAAACAAGTACGAAAAGCATAACTTAATAATAGAAGGAATGGACTTAAGAAAATAGGAATAGCACCTCTCCTAAGAACATAGCTGAAAGGACAACTGAAAAGAAGGGCTCCATAGCTTTAATTGTGTGAGTGAATGAAACAGCAACCTTCCCAAGACTCATGTTGGTGAAAAGGTTGCCCAAGGTATGAACCATGGCCAATGGAAGGATTGCAGCAAGCTGCCCATGGCAATTGATGATTAGGTTCCATATTTATGATTGGCCAAAGGAACAAAAAAATTATTATAGCCTAACCATTCCAGAATAGTATTGAGTACCTGTGCACCACTGATTTTAGGCCGTTTATAGAGATTGAATGTCCACATGATCATAACTAAGACAGTCCCAACAGCAAATTGAACTAAAGTGACTGTCACTGGGTATGGGAAAGCTTTAAGGACCTGCGAGAAATTAGCAGCCATCATTAACTGCTACTGTTCAATAGCTAAATACATTCGTCAGCATGGAACTGAGACCTCAGATGTTATGTTCATACTAAGTGAATTCCTAGGCCCTCATCCTATGCAGTCAATGATGTGCACAACAAATTGTTTACATCGTGTTATTTCTAAAATAACGTGCTTTTCTACATATCCTCCAAATCAACAACAGTATAAGAATAAATCTTAGAGCTGCAGGTGGAACTGCATGAATTACAGCATAGGGAAGCAACAAAAAAGAATATTGTTCCCCAGTTCCATTTTGACTCAACCCAGATAATCTTCAGTAGCATATTACCTAGCTTCATTTAGGGAAAACATGGCTTAATGTATATTTGTCTTGCCACAGAGGCCAAACGAGCAAGACTTTGCTCGAAGATAGGTGCTTATCTTATTGAGTATCTGGATGGTTTAAGTTAAGATACATTCAAAGAGCCCTCTTTGTTAATAGAAATGGGGTGCAATATCCAGCAATAGGATTCTTTCAGGGTTTTCTTCACCGAATTTGAAAATGAGCAGAACTAATCAGCTGATTAACTCAAGGCCAAGCGCTAGCTCTGTGCAAAACTAGTGTTGCCTTCTTAAGAATAATAGTTGAAATTTAAAATTTCTGCACTATGCAAAGTGAAATTTTAGAATAACTTTCCTGGTAAGAAACTTATATTTTAAGCACAAAATAGAGTCTATCAAATATATATACGAAAACACCAAAATCATTCTTATGCAGGCTAAAGAAAACATACCTTCGTATCCCCAAAAAATAAAAATCATTTTTTAAATTCCAGCTCCGTTCATCAAAAAAAGTATCGTTGACCCACTTGATCTACAAGCTTAAGCTTTATATATATATTGTCTTCAATACGCATAGGCCACATTTTCCTTTTTTTGCATCAAAGCCTTATATGTTGTTTATTTGTTTCGTCATTAATGGGTGTGGAATATTACCCTTAACAATTATTACCAATTAACCTCATCAAAATTAAATGCCTCACCATCTAAACATGCAGGAAGACATATACAAGCGTCTAGGCCGGATCAGTGGAAATTAACTAAAGGAAAAAAAAATAAAGAAAGCAAGCACCTGCTTGTTGTAGATATTGAAGTAGATATTAAATAGGTACCAAAGCCCGAAAAGCGTTCCCAGCACCAAAGTATCCGTAACACTCTTAGATTGCGGACTCTCGGCAGCCCCTGCGCTCTCTGGCACCGACGTGGCCCGAACCACAACACCCTCGGACTCGGGCTCCTGATTTCCTGGCGCTGGGTTCGAAATCCACCCATTGGGTCTCAAACAACAGCGAATTGAACCCACTTTCCGACTCGAAGAAGTATGAACCGAAGTAGGGCCGGAAACCCAACCATTCTTGAAGCAGAGCTGTTTCGACGGGGTGAGGGAAATGGGATTGAATCTGTAGAGAGATGTGGGCTTTTGGGGCTTGGTAGAGAGAGAAATGGAAGGGGAGAATACAATTGCTGTGCTCTGCATTTTCGAGATTCAGATCACGAGAGCTGTGAAAGAGAGAGAAGACGTAGGAGGGTGGAAGAACGTTGGGGTCTCCGTCGAGGAGCGAAGAGTTTGGTGGCAGGGATATGAAATACAAATGAGGGATATTCTGGGAATTTCGGTTCGAGGCAAGGAGGCTGTTAACACATTTTATGTCAAAAGGTCTGTTAAAATGGCGGAAACACGATATATTTTTCCATCATATTTTAAAAGATAAATAAAAAGAAAGTGCAAAAAAAATATTTCTTTCATTTCAAAACATGAAAATAAAATATTTTGATATAAATCATCGTCGAGAATGAGACATACCAATTAATGGAAGGTTGAAGTTACAAATTCAACTAAAAATGAGTAAAGATTGATGAGATTAACATCAATTAAAATGTGGTGTATGGAATAAATTTGTAGTGACAATATAATTGCCATAGTTTTAGAGGTCACATGAGATGCGTCATATTTGGTTAATTTAGCTCATGTTTGAAAATCATTAAAATGGGTTTTTTAGGAAAATGACTTTTGAAATAGTGATTTTTTGAAAAATGTACAATTAAATAGTAAAAAGAATTTAGGTTCACGTACATAATAATTTATTGTCGAAATATATAATTGAAAATGAATTTGAAAAAAAAAAAACTGTTTTAATAGTTGTGGCGTAATTTGTGAAAAATTAGAAGTGGGCCCCTCAACTTTTCAATCTTGTGATAGGGATGACAATGGGTTAGGTTCAGGGCATGGCACCCGTCCATCCTTGCTTTGTGCCTCGCCTTAAATTATAGAATACAGTAAACAGTTGCATGAGTTTCAAAAATAAAATTCTTTTTATTTTTTTTTTCCTCTTTCATGGGGTAGGTTCAGGATGGGGCATCTCGACCCCGCGCCATGAGACAGAGAGACGAGTTACGCTTCACCAACACGTCGGGTGAGTTTTTTGCAATCACTATCTTGTGATTAATGACAGTCTATTTTAATTTAAATATGAATTTGAGTCTTCCCATTATTAAAATCGTTGATGTAAATGACAAAAACATCAAATTTGAGAGGTGTTCATAAACAGTTTAATTAGTAGATAGAAATGAGTAATGAAAAAGTGAATAGTACTTATGAATCTCTCAAAATTTATGAGTAAAAAATGACTTCACTTTTTATAAATGCTAGTCAAAATCGAACGTGCATTGCATGTTATTTTAAAATACTTTATAAATGATGTAAAAGTAATATTTGGTATCAATTCATTGGTGGATTTGATGAATCTCAGACGAATAAAAGAAAATAAAATTTAACATAGAAATTTAAAAGAATAAAATTGTACTCAAATTATACTCTCGAAACTTAATTTCTATGATTCAAATTTTTTGTAATGATGAAATACTATAAATGATCAATCTTTTTATATTACACTTGATACATAAAAATTAATTGTTAATACATAATTTAAACATCCATTAAAATACATGAATATGAATAAATTCATCTATAATAACTCTAATTCATGTAATTCAAGATTCATCGAGTGAAATTTCATTAAATCTAGATTAATGTGAAAGTGATTAATTTAGAATTAATTACACAAATCTCGTAAATGACAATAAGCCCTTGTTTGTCAATCATTCTCTTACATTCTACCAAATTATTTTTTCTATATTACTCATTTTCAACCACACATTCTCCATTAAAATAATATTACACATATATCAAAAATTTTTCCTTCTTTTTTCACTACACATTTCAACATCAATTACTATTCCATATTCCAATTTTTGAAATTAAAGGGCCACAAACAAGGCCTAATTTTTAATATTTATTATATATCGAAAAACGAAAAGTAAGATGTTATTGAAATAATTGAATTGTAAAAGGGTTAAAATCGTTATTGAAATAATTGAATTGTAAGAGGGTTAAAATCGTCCAAAAAATAATTCTTCATTAATATGATATCTTAATATATTATATTATAAACATGAGTCAAACATGAATTCACCTTCTTCTTCTTTTAAATCCCAATTCAAGTGAGAGTTGATTACGACGAATTTAATGTTCCACATTGAGGTTGTGTCATGTGGGACTCAAGTTCACATATTTATATAGGTGGGATAACCTCATTTTTTAAAGTTGGAGATGTAAAATTACACTACTACATATATTGGGAGATCAGACCTAAATTGTCCATTAATCAAAAGCTCTGCGATAATATTTACCAATATTTTAACTCGATTTGGATATTACCTTATGATTGAATTGAGGTTGAATCATAGTTAAACTAGTAGTAAATTTTTTTAAGGATATTGCCTTATGATTGAATTGAGGTTGAATCATAGTCGAACTAGTAGTAAAAAATTTAAGGGTCTGTTTGGGAGGGATTTTTTACCTCAAAAAATTGATTTTTTGACAGTTATTTCATTATTTCAACCGTAGTTTTTGACTTATTCTCTCACAGGTGGACCCCACTTTTTTTCTAACGGTCAAAAAATCAATTATCAAAATCTCTCCCAAACAGAACCTAAGATTAGCTTAGTCAAAACTAGTTTATGAGTTGAAATTAAGTGTACTTGAATAACTCCTAGTTCTCCCAATGCTACCTACAGCTTTCATTGTATTGAATTATCCAAAAAACAAATCTTCTAAAAAATTTCACAAAGAATATGTTGAGTTGGAATCTCATTCTACGTGAGGATTCTTGCGATCCTGTGTAAGTTCAAAAGAACTAAAGAATGGAAAACTTTTCGATTCATTCGATTTTAACATTATTGGTATAACTATAAAAACAAAACACTAAAATAGTATATTGACAAGAATGTTCATATCAATATAGCATAGGACATATAAAAGTTCAAAGGTTCTTCAGAGGATATTTCCTCTTTTTAAAAAATGTTACTGAAAAAATGTTCATGTCAACCTGATCACCTACGAACAATTCAACGAGGAAGTTTATCTATTTTCGTCATAATATGTCAATATATTTTTAAGCTAAAATTGGACCAATTTTCACGACACCCGTAGTTCATGGTACAGTCTAATTTCATAAAAAACTGTATATCAAATTTGCCATAAATAATCTTATGAAATAATTATACCGACCAATACTAATTTATTTTATTTTAATTGTCACCGTTGTACGCCATCGAAAGTATCAAATTCTTCGTCATTGATACTCTTAGTTATAATAATAAATAACACAGCTATATTACCTGCACAAGCTCATTTGCATAGGGCCTGTACAGGGACACACACATGGGGTCCATCCCCATGTGGCAGGTTCTGTGCAAATGAGTCTTTACAGGGAGCTTTTTTCTAATAATAACTATTGATTTTCACAATGGGAAGAAGTGGAACATCTATTTAATCCACATCTCTTGAAAATGGTTCTATACATCATTAATAGTCTATAATATATTAAAATATTACATCAAAGGAGAATTATATTTTGGACGATTTTAACTCTCTACAATTCAATTATTTTAATAACACCTTACTTTTCGAATAAATACTATATAATTATTGTCATTTATGAAATTTGTTTTATTAATTTTCAATTAATTAACATTTACATTAATCTAGATTTAATGAATTTTCACTTGACGAATCTTAAATTACACGAATCTAGAGTTATTATAAATGAATTTATTCATATTCATATATCTAGAAATTTTAATGGGTGTTTAAATTTATGTATTAACAATTAATTTTTATGTATCAAATGTAATATAAAAGGATTGTTCATTTATATTATTTTATCATTAGAAAAAATTTGAATAATAGAAATTGAGTTTTAACAATAAAAATTTCTTCTTTTAAATTTCTATGCTAAATTTTATTTTTCTTTAATTCGTTCCAAACTCATCAAATCCTCTAGCAAATTGGTACCAAATATTACTTTTACATCATTTATAAAATATTTTAAAATAATTTGCAATGTACGTTCAACTTTGACTAGTAATAATAAAAGTCTTATTTATTTATTTATTTTATTTTATTTTTGAAAATTTAGTTTCACTTGTATACCATTCGATGTGAATCCATTACTAAAACAATTATTAATAGCGTTGGTTTTGTAAAATTTTTTGTATTTATTTTCTGTTGTTATAAAAATATGAAAAATTTACAAAACACACTAGTATTTAAGGTGTAAATATACTTTAAATACCATATTTTATAAATCTATGATAACAAAAATCACAAATCATATTAATGAACACTATTTTTTAATTATTTATTTTTCATTTATTGAATTTTTATGTATATTCTTTTCCTAAACTCTATTATCAAATCAACAAAAAATAATTTTAGTAAGTTATAAAAAATGAAAAACTTAAAAAATACTTCGTTTGACTCTTCCAAGTCCAACATTGCAAAAACAAAACAACTCTTAATTGAAAACAATCTATTAAAATAATTTTTTATATTAATTGTTATATTAAAAATCAATTTCGCATTAATTTTAAGTTGGTTAATTTTGCAAGTTAAAATTTTTTTTTTTATCAAGAATGCATGCGTAGTTTCATCTACTGTGGATGATTTTTCTTTTTAGAACTTGAGTGAATATTAACTTATGAAGAGATAGATGAATGAGAGACCCAAAAATAAAAATAAATAAATAAATAAAATAAAATAAAAAATTCATATGAGAATGAAATAGAAATTGAACTTTTAGAATAAAAAATAGATAAAAAAAAATTGGTACGTAAAATGTTACATAATATTATTAATTTCATGGCTTTTTATTTCCAATTAAGAATACTCTGGTATACTTCACTATTTTAATAGCAATTTATAACTTTTTTATTTGTTTTCATAATTAGAAATTTAGGGCTTATTCGATATGACTTTTGTTTTTGTTTATATTTTCTATAAAAAAGTTCTTTCGAGGAAATTACATTAATTTTTATTTTGAAAATTAATTTTCATGATATTCCTTTTTGAAATTGCTTTTGGAGAAAATCATGTTGAACTAAGGGCCTATTTGATTCATAGAATTTTCCATGGAAAATTTTTCTTTCAACTTTTTCCTTATTTGATTGCAAGAATTTTTTTGGCAATTGATTTTCCATCCCCCCTCATGTGACTCATTTTCCTTAATTTTGTGGAATTTCAATTCCCATGAATTTGGTGGGAAATCAATTTTTCATGTTTTTTTAATTTTTTTTGGACAATAAAAAAAAATCCTGTTTATAATTGTAATAAATTATATCTCTTTAATTAATAATTTTCATGAAAAACAAAGATAACAAATATCAAAAGATCCAAAATTTCAACATTTTTTCAGGATTAAAAAATTACGTCAATCAAACACATTTAATTGACAATTCCTAACTAAACAAGTTTCAGGTAATTCGGTCTTTGGAATTTGTTTTTTTCCACATAAATTTCATTTTTCCAATCGAACGGACCCTAATTTCCTCTAAAAAATTTCTAACTAGAAGAAGAAATATTTTTATAAAATTAATCAAACAGGCCTAAAAGTAACTTATAAGTTATAGTGTGCTTATAATGAAATCCAAACAAGAATAGGTTAAATTACGAAGAGAGAATAGGTTACAGAAAAGGAGGAGCATTAAATTGGAAGCTAGAGAGCAGTGCAGTGAACAGAAACGGAAGCCCAATTCAAGGGAACAAACAAACATTACTGGTGCCGAAAACGAAAACAAAACTGACAGACAGCCAGACAGAGAAGAAAAAGAGAGTGTATCATTTATCAAGAAATGAAGAAGACGAGGATTAGTTTTCAATTCTTCATATCAGAACAGAACCGATTAGAATCGTTTTTCTTAACCGAAACAACGATAACTCCACCACACTTTCATTATTGTCATTATTCTTTTTGCGCATATTCTCTCACTTTTTTCATTATTATCGCCGGCTCTTTTGCCCATTTCGGTTCAAACAAGAAAAAGGAAAACAGCCTTATCAAGACTTTAGCATCAACCTTAGGGTAATCCGTTTTGACCTGAGCTGAATCTTGTAAGTTTTATTTTTTAATTTATTGATGATTTTTGGTTTTAGCCTGATTGAAGGGAAGTTTGTATTTTTTTCTGGTTATTTCCTTATTGGAATTCTTGGAATAGTTATATATGTGTTAGAATGTACTTATTTATTTTCTTGACGATCATAAAAGAGCAAAGACACATCAAAGTGGAAGAAACCTGAAAGTAAGCTATGTGTTTCTTGATTGATGGGTTGTTTGATTTGGACCTGGGTATTATTACTTTTTTTGAATGTTCTTTCTAAGGATTTGTTTGTGTTCTGTATCAGTTAAATCAAGGTTTCTTGTTTTGGGGCATTGTGATAAATTGTCTTTGTAGTTCTTGAGTTTTTCTGGGCAGTCATAATTGGATTTTAAACAATTAAGCTCTTTGGATCTAATGTATCTAGTGTATGATTCTCAGGAACATGTTTGGAGGAGGAAGTAACGGAAACAACATGTTCCCTGTTTCTGGAGATGAAAGTCCCGTCCAATATGATATCAATTCCTTGCCTCAATTCAAAATGTTTGGACGTGGTGGTTTTATTTCTTCTTCTTCATAGAACTTTTTTTTTTCCGTCTACTATTGATGCCAAATTGTCATAACGATTATGACTCCTGTAATTGTATTGTCACTTTGATTTCTTCTCTTCATAGCTCACATTGTATATGTATTATGTGATATGCAGGAATTCTCTTCAAGAATTTGACCGGTGATGGTATTTATTTATTTCAATATGGCAATGTTTGAAAGATTACTAGAAAGAGCTGTTAAATTACTACATTTTGTATATTTATAACTTTTCAACTTGTCTGCCTAAATGGATGCATCCATTGGCTCAATTTATGATGCATACTGTGCCACAAGCTAGTGCCCCTAATTAATTATATTTAACTTCTGCCAGCACTTATTTTTAATATCTATAACTTTTTGCAAAATAAACAATTGGATAATATGGAACATAGCCAAAGCTTTAATCAGTAAATTTATTTTGGTACTGGTTGAAAATGGCGGTTCGTTTATATGCTATCTGCTGTTTCTATGGCTTACTTTTCCTTAACACGATTTTTTTGTGCCTGTTGAGTTTGGTTATTTATATCTCCTGTTACCAGTTTGTTCTTTCTTTCCAAACCCTTGGGTGAAATTGGGCACTTTCACTAATTCTCCTTTAACGTAAACAAATGCATAGCTTACATGTACCATATTTGCTTTACGGAAAGTGTAGGTGACACTTGTTGGGCCTTCATCTTCAAATCTCTGCAGGTCATGTGGATTAGGGCATAAATTGAACAAACTAACTAAATGATCTTCTCCTTTCCCCAAATGTCAAGTTCTTTAACTCTGCTGTTTTATTCGTTCATATGTAGCCCGTGTTTTGGTTTGGATAAAAAATAAATTTTTAGTAGATTTTGATAAAAAATTGATGAAATGTGTGATTGAAAAGTTGATAAAAGTTGTATGTTCCATAAAATGTGTGGTTGAAAATGAGTTTGAGGAAAAAATGAATTTTAGAAACAGGGACCAAACAGGGACGTAATCTAAGAAGCATGGACATGTGCCAACATGATGTTTCTCTAATAATATTATGAGAAAATTAGATCCGATCTTCATGTTCATGATAGAATTTAGTGTCCTTAGATATCCAAATTGGTCATGAACTGAAAAAACATTTCTGAAATTTGCCTTGAGTTTTTTATTTTTTAATTAGGTGAAATGAATGCTGCTCATCCGTCTAAGGATGTTCAAAAAAGTTCGGTGGACAACCCACAGACACATAGGCTTTTTGAGTGTTTCATGCCTCTTAATTTGTAATAAATGGTGTGCCACTACTCAAACCATGGCTTCCGCACTATTAGATGCATTTATTATGCTTGTTCTCCCCCCCCCCCCCCCCCTCTCTTAAATGGTTCACAATGGCTTCATATGTCTTAAGTCATGACAACTGGTGGATTCAGTTTCCACACCTGTTGAGAAGATTTTACAATGTCAAAATTATGTTCTTTTTGTAGTATTTGTATGGATTATATAGTTTGTAGGATCTCCGATTTTGACAATATATTGCTTTTGATTATGCATATTAGTGGTGATATTGAAACATGGATATTGATGAAAAAAAGTAAAGAATCATGAAGATCTTTACTTGATTTATTGATTCTTTACTCGATTTATTGTAGTAACAAGTGAGACTCCTATAGGCACTATTACATTAACCTGAATATGTTATAGTTCTATTTCCTGTTTCATTTTCTTGCTAGGAGTTACTTGTTACATTTATTAATTTGTCATTTTTCTGGACTATACCCTTTTCAATTTTTGGTAATACATTTTGATCTCATATTTTTGGACACGTTTGTTTACATTTCCAGTTGACCATGGTGTCGATTCCAAGAATCATATGGATAATGAGCCTGCCCTTGCTGCAAATCGGCCTATTAAAAGAGTCAGGGAAGCGGAATCTGTATGCAGGCAAAGGGAGCTTCCAGTATCAATGAATACCATCTTGCAGTCCAATGACATGGGCCATCTTAGAACTCTTTTGAATCCTAATCCTGTGTCAACTGGGCTCGAACTTTCTTGCCAGGAAGAACAGAATTCCTCCCTTTTATCTGCTGGTGAAAACACAAGAAGCACCCTGTCTGGTGTACTTTCCCTTGGTAATAGTGTTAAACTGGAGTTAGATCGACAGACAGCAGAATTTGACCGATATATGGACCATCAGGTGCAGTTGCTGAAACTAATTTTCATAGAAGGCACCCTATGTTAGTCTTGACATTTGAATTGTGGACATAGGAATTTTGGAAGAAACTACTTTGTTTGTTATGTAAGAATTAAGATGGGTGTTGGATGTGGTCTCAAGTCAGTCTTTTCTAGCAGAAAGGAAATCATTATATATTTTTTACTGGCAACGTAATTGAAGTTTTGCCTCAACTTGTACAGACTATTTATGGTTGCAAAATGTGCTTTTAGTGAAGTTTGTTAATTCTATTTTGTGAATTATTATAATATTTACTGAAAAAAAATGTTTAATGGGTAATTGATATGGTCTGCAGGGATTGGTGGTTGCAATCTTAATGCAATCGAAAAATGATTACTGATTGGACATTCATATCTTATGTACTTTATTTGATTACTCTTTGCCTTGTATTACAGCTTCTCAGTTGGTCTTTGTCCCACAGGAAGAGAACCTCCTGAAGGGTGTAAGAGAGTTAAACCAGAGGCATATGGTTTCTATTTTGAATGCCTTAGGAAAGGGGGTAAACGCCAAATTACATGAGAAGCAGCGTAAACTAGAGAACATCAACCGCAAGAGCAAGGAGTTGGGTGATAGAATAAAACAGGTTGTAAATGAAGCTCAGTCATGGCGTCACAGAGCAAAATACAATGAATCCATCGCAAATCTCTTGGAAAGAAGCATCCAGCAGCTCATAGCACAAGGCACTGCCCGAGCTCTGGAAGGATTCGGGGAGAGTGAGGTAGATGATGCAGTCTCGTCCATGAACCATCAAGGAACTGTTTGTGGTTCTCGAAGTCAAGTTCCTTTAGATCATCATCTAAAATGCAGAGCTTGCAAGGGCAAAGAAGTTTCTGTCTTGTTATTCCCGTGTCAACACCTTTGTCTGTGTATTGATTGTGAAGGGTCGATTAACATTTGTCCAATTTGCCTGGTGATGAAGACTGCAAGTTTGCAAGTATACATGTCATGAAGGGCATATGTGAGCACTTGAAGGCTTAATATGTTGATGCTCTGTTAACTCGAGCTTAGAGGAATCATGGGATGTTCATTTTGTACATTTTGCCTCATTTGTGAAGTTTAGCAACATTTGCCCGAAGTGATTTTACCGGTACTTTGTACTGGTTGCTTTCATTATACTCTCCCTCTCTCTCTCTCTCTCTCTCTCTCTCTCTCTCTTTTTTTTTTTTTTTTTTTTTCTTCCCCTCCATGTATGGAGGAGCTGTGTATTATTACTGTCATAACTGTGAAAACATGGAGCACGAGTATCAATCCCGAAGCGAACAATTGATTCAAGAACCCACGGCCCTTTACCTTATGTAAAGCTCTCCACTCCCGTCAGCATGAGATATGCGAAAAATCTTGAATTAATTACTATTATGTTCTTGTCTAGGTTCTCTTGGATATATGTCAGTTTTTGTGTTGTGACACAGTGAATAGAGAGCAAATCGCATTTTTGAGGACAAGAAAAATGATAGTAACTACACCTGAGTTTATCTCGATTTTCATGATATGATAATGACCCAAGTGGATGCATAGACACATCTCAATTTGACTCTAAGGTCGACCTTGGTTATCACCAACCAACGACCTTTGCTAAAACGATCCGCACCATCCAATCCGACACGAACTTCTATCTCGATTTCAATATACACATTAAAGGCTACAAAGGATTCACATAATCTAACTTGATGATCTTCCTAAATAGAGAAGACGAGATGAATATAATCACCATCAATTGAGTTCTATCGATGACAACTTTTGACAAGAATTTAACATAAGCATCCCCACTCTCCTCCTTTATATATTACAAATTTGCTACACATATATCCACACTTATCGAATATACACTAATACAATCTCACATCGTCTAGCAAATCTAACACATCTAATCCAATCATTATAACACTTCCATGTCATCAATATATAAATAGAGGTGTCAAGATAGGAGTACAAATAGTGTAATCCTACATACTATGCACCCTACAAAATAACTTGAGAAAATTCGATGTCCTTAGCATACATACTGGCCTACAAATTACAAAGATGATGGTGGAGAAAAAACTGAGAACAATCAAACATCATCAAACTGACTTTAGAAAGCATTCAACACAATTTATCTGCCATCAAGACATCAGTTTACATCACTTGCTTAAGGATAAAGACTGGAAAACCTTGAATCTTGGGTGTTTTTTCCATTAGGGCCATGACTTAGCCATACGCTTTCATTTTTCTCTGTGCTACCAATCAACAGGGGAGGGCGAAAAAGAGAAATTTCCTTGGAAGGTTTGTAAATGGGTACATCTAACTGCCAGGGATTATTGCAATCTTGATTACGAGGTACTAGAACAAAAGAAACTTGTTTTGACTATGCAATGGATTGGCATGTACATTGCAGCAGCTTCTCTAGTCTGATCACTTGCAATGGCTGCTGATGTCTTCTGTGGGTTCAGAAACAAAAGGCTGTGGTTCCCATGCAAGTAGTTCTATCTCAATGCAAATCCTTTAGCACTATTAGCTGTCAAAGTGAAGTTTCCAGAGGATCTTGGAAAAAAAATGACTTGTTGGGCTACTTTTGGCTTAATTTTGAGTGGGACCCATTTATTCATTTTTTAATATTAAAGTTGATTTTGTGTCTCCTTTGTGGTCCGTGAGAACATCAAAACCATATATTTGATTGTGAAAAATAATGCTCTAATGAATGAGAAATTGAAGCTCAAAGTTGATGAACTCGAATTGGTTTATGTATATTGGAGGGAAAACTAATTAAGTTTATCCCACATAAGAAGTTTATAAAGGTAAAAATTACTTTATTTATGATTACACGCTGGAAGGGTGTAATCATGTGTAGCATAGATGCTCTCTTCAGTGCACATGTAGGGGGTGCGAATCGTGGATTGAGTTGTACATCGGGACTTGAACTTGTGGACAAGTGCTACCTGTGTACATGAATGTCAGACAAAAAATTGGCCCTGTGCCTTTACTTCCTATTTTTTTATTTGTTATTCTCCAACTAACTTTTTTAACTGTTGAAACTCCAGTAGTTGTAGCCATTTTAATGACTGGTTAATAGATGAATATAACTTACTCATTCATGCAGGATTAACCTATAATAAAGGTAGGTCGGACTTTCCTTAGATCCACACAAGAAATTCCATTTTTCTGTTCGCATATTTTCCAGTTCTTTGTTTTTGAAATGTCATGACAGCTATGGAATCCATGGATGATAATGAGATCTTACTTAACATGACTGTTTAGGCATCCTGGTAATTAAAGTGACCATCAATATTTGTATTCGTATCATTTAAATGCACGACTTTGATGTTATAGATATATTGGGTGAGGCAATTGTAGTGACTGTTTTGTATATTACTTTCTCTTGTTATCTTTGTCTTTAACGGTTCCAACCACCAGAAGATATATAGAATCAAATGATTAGCACAAAAGAGTTTTGGATGAAGAAAAATGGAGGGGAGGAAATTTGCAATCGATTAACTGACACTAGTAGTGAATAACTATTGGATTATGGCAGTAACTGGTTGTCCCAAGCTTATGATGGCACGTTCTGTTATTAGAGCTACTTCAGGTGTGATGTGTATGTTGATTTCTCTAACTTTGATAGAAGCCCATATTCGGATGCCAATGGTGTACGAAGGATTTGGCAATATTTCTTCTGCTTATCAGTGTTCAATCAATTGGATTATTGTCACACGTATGGTTTCACTGCTGCCAGCTTCAAGTATTCCAAAATAGGGAGTAAAAGCTTCAAAGATGAATTCAGAATTGAGACTAATTTAGAGGCTGTCGACTGAAGAGTGATCATTACTTTTATACTTTCCACACACCGAGTGCAGAAAAATTTTGCAAGATGCAAAATGACTAAATCTAAATTTCTGTATTGGGGTTCAGCCTAATTGTTTTGGTGAGCAAACTTTTTCTTCTGATCTCTGCAACATGCCTCGACCACTTCAATTGGTTGAAGATATTCATTATTGATATCGCTAACTAATATCAAGGGAAGATCAGAATCTAGCGCGGTTACACAGCTGGATCCCCAGTATGTTTGGCAACTTGAAGGGGAAGCAAAAATGTCAAGAGATCTTGAAGAACATTTCCAATGAGGTGGACAAACCGATAAAACAGTTCGATTCCTAATTCAGCATCATGATGGTGAAGAATTTCAAGAACATTCTGGGTTTCACTGAGGAGAGCAGCTTGACGAATATTTTTGTCCCCTTTATGGAACTATGATGACATTTCAAAGCTATAACATGTGGTAAGTTGGTAAGGAAGTTGCCAATATATCTGCATTCGTTAGATATAGACTCAAACAACCTCATCTATTTGGTAATTTCCAAAGGCCAGAAAAATAATTTGACTGATCCGGTACATTGAGTTAGCAGCTTTAATCTTAACTGGCCACTTGAGAGGGTTTTGTTGGATGAATTTTGTGAATAGTGACGCCGAAATAAGTATAATGATGGTGACAAAGCCGAGGCAAGAGTTGGACTCTTTGTCCTTAAGTCGAATTTGCCCCGCAACGGTGCCTACGAATTTCGGCAATCGACTCCCAAGATACAACGGCTACACTTGTGTTTGTAGCACTCCAAAACACAAGTACAGCGAACCAATTTAGGCTTATGTACTCCAAGGATGAAATGAAAGAAAATCAAAATAAACGAAATGATTTTGATTTTGGATAGAAGAGAGGATGAGAGACGTTTTGCATATCAAACTGTGTGGAATAGGACACCCAAAGGGTCCTATTTATAGACCATGAAAGGGTGTAGACGAAATGGTTGAGGCCAAACCATGCACCCTTTCCAAACAATGCACCATTATGAAAAGGTGTCTATTCACTGATTTTCGTCCTTTTTCGTAATTTCTCATTCATCCGATATTGGTTTTCGAAATGCCAAATATACCCTTCAATACATGCAGAGAAATCAAAATTCTCTTTCGGGGGCGTTGCCCCCGACCCCCCACGGGGGGCGCTGCCCCCTCGACCCCCGCGACCTGACCGGTCAGGTCGATCCCCATTTGTGCCTGTCCACCAGCCACTCTCACTAAAAATGGTACCGCAGGATCGAATCCTGATCACATCATCTAGGGTCGGTAGGACAAGCTCATCCTTGATGCCATTATTGGTTCAATCTCACCATCATAACTTTTATTGCTCCTGCAAAAACATTCAGTGAATCCTGGACCATATTAGCCAACACATATGCCAAGTCTTCTTGTGGCCGCATCAAACAAGTTAGAAGCCAACTCAAACAAATCACCAAGGGATCCACAACTGTGATTGAATTTCTACGCACTGTCAAAGCACGAGCCGATGAACTTGGTCTTCTTGGAGCACCATTTGATGCAGAGGATCGAATGGAAAAAATTCTTGATGGACTTGGTGATGACTACCAGGAATTAATGTATGCTGTCCAAGCCAGAGACACCTCCGTTACTTTTGAGGAGCTACATGAAAAATTGTTGAATTTTGAAGCTTCATTGCTGATAACAAAATCCAAGCCAGTACTTTTTCCTGCCACTTCTAATCCTACGAGTCGGGCATCTATAGAATGGCGTCCTCCAGGTAGCATCAATACTTCATGGCGCCCATCCTCTAATCAGCCCAATCGATATCCAGTAACAACCAGTAGCAGTCCAACCTTAACTAGAGGAGATCGCCCCTCTTGTCCATACATTGGATACTGTCAAATATGTAGAATTCAAGGTTATACAGCAAAAGGCATCCTTCATACCGGCAAGTACCATTTCAATCTCCAATCAACAACTACAATGCTTCAATGAGCAATCCTGCTTCATTGTGGCAACCAAGAGCTCATTATGCTGCTAATACTCCCAAAACTCATTCGGGGCTCTTAGACAGTGGTGCTTCTCACCATGTTACCTCCGACTTGAGCAATCTCTCAATGCATGCTCCCTACAATGGTTCCAATGACATTATTATTGGCAAATGGCTCGGACCTCCCCATCACTCACATTGGTTACTCCTCTCTCACAACTTCTCAACACACTTTTAAATTAAACAATGTACTTTATGCCCCTAGCATGAAAAAGAACCTAATTTCAATCTCTCAGTTTTGCACCTCTAATAACGTTGCAATTGAATTCTTACCGTCTATTTTACTCGTGAAGGAACTTAGCATGGGGACACCACTTCTGCGAAGCCAAGCTAAAGATAGAGTATATAAGTGGCCAAAAATCTCCCCCATTGCTTGCATTTTCCAGCATGACTACTTCTAAATCGGAGTGACATTATAGATTAGAACATCCTGCAATTTCAATTTTAAGGCATGTTTCCAGTAATAACCTAGGATTATCTTCCCTTTCTTCATCTGATTTCTCTTGTAATGCATGTCGCTGTAATAAAAGTCACGAATTATCTTCTCTCAACCATTTGAAATTATATTCACTGATGTTTGGTGTTGTAAAATTTTGTTTCGCAAGTTGATGGATCGTAACAAGTAGTAAAGTGGATTTTTTGAATCCGGATTATCGTTCCCATGAGAGCTATACTTTAGCACTCAATTTATTATTCCTAACTCCTATTTGATGAATATTAATAAAAATATATATATTTGATTGACCGTGATTTTTAAATCTAACTACTAAAAATCTCGGGATTTTAACAGAAAAATAGTGAGAATTCAAATAATAAATGGAGATTATGGCAGAACAACTTCACCTATTGGTCATCTTTATTTCTAATATTGAGATTCATAAAATTAAAATAGTGATCGGTCGAATTTTTTTATTGTATTCAACTTACCCCTCTCGAGTTCTCGTTGAGCCTATTTAATTAGTTCGATTCCATATCTCTATTCAAATTAAATTTAATTAAACGAAATAACAGTTCTAAAAATTTCTATAGGACCACAACAATTAATAAAGTATCTTTACACCTTTTATTAATTTACCGAATTTTAATATGTGGTCTAAACAAGAATCCCCATCTCTACGTAATTATTGTTCACAAAATTATTGAATAATTGGCCAGAGAAATTCAAAGCATAGAAAATATAATTAAAATTAACACATAAAATATAAAATAACAAGAATCTCAAATAAAAGAAATAAGGGTCCCAAATATATTACATTGTTCGCTCTAAAATTAAATATAGCTACGCATATTGATGAAAGAAAAACAAGAAATTATGGAGGACATCACCAGATTAATTGACTGAACATGAATCTACAGTTGGTTTCTGCGTGTCTTCCCTCCAACAACTTCCTTCTATTTTTCTCTCTGTCTGCGTCAACCTCCTCTTTTTACAGAAAGTGTTGGTTTCCTCAATTACTCTATGCATGTACGTATGAATCTCTCCAATAGTAATTAAGTAGTCACCAAGTTTTGCATGAAAATATATCAAATTGGCTCCTCAAATTCCGTGCGTAGAGAGGATGATGGCAGCCCCTCCTTTTTTTTCTTTCTTTCTCTCCTTCTGTCCGCCGCAGAAATTCCCCCTACCCTCTTCTAGGTTTTTACGTGCATATATATATAAATACAATTCCGCTACTCAGCTAGGGTTGAAAACAGGCAATTAAAAATTGGTGTGGTGGCCCACAATTATTATAATTCAATAAAAAAAAAGAAACCAACAGAAAATAAAAGAAACTGCAGGACCGATTTCTCATCACTTCATTGCTCCCTGCTCCCAAACCCTGAAGAGTACTCCTGCAAGCGCGCCTTCGTCAACCGGCCGGAGCAACCATCGCCAGGCGGAGCACCCATCACCGGTTGGAGAGCCGGTAGTCAGCTGACGAAGAAGAGGGGAAAACTAGAAAAAAGGAACTAATTTTTCTCCTATTAATGATTTTGTAAAGAAATTATTAAGGTATTCTGAGAATTTTGAGACACCCAAGAGATTTTAATTTCTTTTCCTTTCAAGTTCTCCAAAAACAGGTAAGATCTTGTGATTCTTCATTTTATTAGCCACCTTCATATTTAGTCGTTTCGGTTCGCAGAAATTTGTCAATAACGTGTTAGGTTTTCAAAATTTCTATATTTGATGCCATAGAATTTGAAATGGAACTCTAATATACTAGAATCTCAATTGGTTGATATATTTGGAAGGGTGAATCGTGTCTTTTTGTGTCTTCTTCTTTAGGAGATTTGTATGTGCTTTGAACTGTAGTATACAGGAATCTCAGTTTGTAGATTTTTACTTCTTCTATCATGCTTTGAATTTGTTATCACTAATTCATTGATTTGTGAACGATAATGAGCCAAGGGGTAGGCTATTTATTTGGTCTGTGTGTAAAGATGGAAATTTAGGTAGAAGGTAAATATATGCTTGTACTAATTTTGTGATTATTAATTGGATTTTTGGTGATTGAGTAATCTTTATTAGGACTTATCTTCATACAGTAGAGATATAGTGAATTAACTCAATTGAGTACAATTCATTTGAACTTGGGAGTGAGTATACGTGCTCTACATCTCTGGATGCATGTCAGTTATATATTTTTATTTGACTTATTTTTTGTACCCATCTGGCTCAGCAAAAATCTTCTGTTTTGATTGGGTAATTGGAGAATCTCCATTTCTGCCTTGTGTTGAAGCTCACTGGTTTTATGTTGGTTGTTGATACATGCTATGGTCCGAGTATTCTGAATTTGGTATGATTTTTTATTCCCATCGTAGAATGCCCGGAAGGAACTCCGGAATCTGTCATAGTTGTAGAGCTAAGGATCATATGTCTGCCGAATGCAAAAAGAAACGCCTTTGCCCGCGATGTAAGTATGGATTTGAAAAATGTTTTGTGGTGGAGAAGGAAAATCACAATAAGGGGAAACTATTCCTTTGCTGCAGCCGAAATTGTGGATTTTGGGAGTGGGTCGTGAAAGAAAACTCAAGCGGTCAATGTAGTCGTGATAGCGCAACATTTCCTAACCCCGTGACGAATGACACTGCTGAAGAAATGTCCCGCATGTTCAAATCTCGGGTAACGATAAGTGACGAAGAGGAGCTTCAGATTTTGGTTAACGTGAGCATCAAGAAGGAGAAAATTGTTGCAAATGTGGACGCTAAAGGGAAGCGGCCGGCTTGACTTGAAGATACTTATCAAAGTGGCTAGCCTAATTTTCTCAATTAAAACCGAATCAGCTTGTCATTATTTGTGGAGGTTGAAAGTCTTGTATGTGATTAATTAAGTAAAGTAGTTGACGTGTGTGGTGCGAGGTTGTATATCATAATAGCTTGGTACCAAAACAAGCATTTTTTGTAGGCAAACATTTGTACTCTCGCGACTTACGTTCAGTTTATGTAGGGTACTTAATGTATTTAATACCTTTCCATTCGAATTGTTTATGCATTCCAAGTTCACAAGCTTAAATGAAGGCAAACATTGGCTGCCTATCATTTTTCACAAGCCCAGGTTCAGGTTCTTTTTGTTATGAAATTGCAAATCATTTTTCAAAAGTGAGCTTAATCAAGTTGAGGCAGGCGTCAATGTTGAAGTCTCCAGCTCTGTCCCTTATGCTCTCTCCGTCCAGCCCGTTTTGTAAGCGAGAATGGACTGGAGTGCAGCTACTAAAAAAGAAGAGAATGGACTAGATTCCAGCTTAGGGAACGTTTCAATTGTTTAAATTTACATCAAAGCATTTTTACATCAAAGCATTTTTACATCTGTGTTTCAAAGTAAATTTACATCAAAGCATTTTTACATGTGTTTCAAATTGAATACCTGGCTGTCATCCTAAAAATTTTTATAAGATAAAAAAAAAAAAAAATTCTCCATATAAGCTAGGATTCACATTTGAGCAGCTCAGTAAATGGCAATAATAAACATTTCAAAACTATTTCATCATGGCTAGTGCAAGAACAAAGATGATCAGCTGTCCAGTACATGAAATCACACATAATTTGAACCTAGAGCTGTCAACATTTCAAAAAAATTCAGCCAACTTAAAACTTGTGAAGTTGCCAAAATAGGCAAAGTAGTAATTGCCTTAATACTAGGAAATGCCAAAATACATCTTCATCCGAGTACTGTGAATTGAAACTCTTGATGTAAAAAAAATTTCAATCAAAGCCCCCTTGCTATAGGCTGCCACCGTCATCCAATAAATTTTGATAGTAGTTTGTCGATGGTTGATCTACAATAGAATACCATAAGAAATAATTAATCATGTGTTCACAACATAATGAAATTTAAAACCGTCTACAACATTGGTTTATACCTTGTGAATTTTGCATGATTGTAGCCGCGGATGGAGAGACAAAATTTTGAAAGGGTACATGTTGGGAAAGGGAGAACGGTGTGGGCATGGACAGTTGTGACAAAGATAATGGTGTCAACATGTCATTGGACAAGTACGACGTCGGGGTCGGTATGGAATATTGTCGAGGCAACTGAAAGTTCATTGCGTCATCCACCACATTCGTATTGCTATTTCTTGGTCGCATAGTAGTGGATGATGTCCCACTAGACTGCATTCACAGAGAATCGCTTAGATGTAAATTTAAACAATTGCAAATATAAAGCGCAGTTTTCGAGCATACCTTTTCTTTCTTAGATACTGTTTCCAATGGGCTTCTTTTTCTAAGCTTCCTGGGCGCACCCTTTCGTCGAGTTACTTGTGGGTCCCGTATGCTTCCGCTCGCTAACTTTGACACGACCGCACAATCATTCGACACCTGCGTGGTACGCGACGGTATGGGATTACTACCACCACCAGATCTTGTAGTCATCATATCTTCACATTGAGATTTTATCCACTCCATTATCGCACGTGACCGCATTTCGTCATCTGCAGCAAGGTCTGCCACCTGTGCAAATCCCTTCGACATCTCTTCGTATCTTAATTGTGCAGGAGTAGTCTCTAACCCTTCATAGTTTACTGGAACTCTCGTGTGCGCTCTACGAACGTCCCTCCTCCATCTCCGTAAAATATACCGATCCGGAATACATGTGATGTCGTTCCAGTCCAGAACCGCTATTGCATGCCTACAGAGTATTCCCCTAAACTCAAACAAGTGGCAGTTACAAACAACTTCGCAATTATTTCTCACAAATGAGACGACACAATTTTTTCTCTTGCGACGACCATCATACATAATAGTCTCTCGTACATTATACGTTGTCTCAGAAGATCCTTCCGACGTAGATATGACGTTACAGTACACCTTACCCATGAACTCTTCTTGAACTTCCCGAAATTTCGACATGGTGTAAACTGACCGAAACTGTTCTTCCATTTCGAACTGTGTTGCACACGGTATCATTTGAGAGAACGACTTGAAATCAGCTAGGAATTCCTTCTCGACCTTATTCCTGAGAGCACGTTCGTGCTGTTCGACGAATTGCTTCAACGATGTCTTCGAATGCACATATCCATCAAAGAATGCATTCATACTCTCGCTTCTTTGTGTTGTTGACATTCCTGCCCAAAAAGTTTTTTTCAAAAAACAAGGCACCCAACGCCCTCTATTCTCATATAATCCTAACAACCAATTATTTTGCTGCAAACTATAGGTGTCAATCATCGCCATCCAACCTTCTTCAAATTCATGTTCTGACTGTGAATCATACACTAAATCATGTATAGCCCCAAATACCAAGCCCTTATCCACGTGGTATCCAAACTTCTCCGGGAGTTTCTTCAAAATATGCCACAAACACCATCTATGCTTCGTCCGCGGGAAGACAATCTCAATTGCATTTTGCATGGCTCTATCTTGATCGGTAATTATAGCTTGCGGAGCTTCACCATACATACACTAAAGCCATGTTTTGAACAACCATACGAAGGTCTCAGTGTCCTCATTTGACAGCAACCCACAATCAAGTAATGTTGATTGTCCGTGATGATTGACGCCAACAAAGGGGGCGAATGGTATGTCATACTTATTAGTAAGATAGGTGGTATCAAAAGTAACCACATCACCAAACTCCTTGTACGCTAGCCTACACCGATTATCTGCCCAGAATACATTTCTTAGTCGCGAATCATCGTCCAAATCCATACTGAAATAAAATCCCGAACATTGAGCTTGCATTCTTGAGAAGTATGATTGTATTGCTGCAGCATCGCCCTCTCCAAGTCGTAATCGCCTAACTCGTTCGACATAGTTCCGACAATCTTTTTTAATGCAAGTCATGTTCTCATATCCACCGGCTTCTACAACTGCGGAATTGTAACTCTTATGCAACGGAATCCCTGCTAAATCATTTACTTCAAGCTTCCTTTTCACATGTGCAATCAAAGTTCGGTTGCATCGATATAACCTGGACTTAGATGGACTTGTCTCATGATTGTGCTCTAGGTGGACCGCGTTAATTTTCCAATTTCCCAGCATATCTGAAGATGCAGATATCCTTGCTTTACAACCCATCTTAACCGTAGGTTGCGGCTTCACTGAACTACTAGTATTACCATTTAATCGTCCTTCACGACTACATGTTAACGTTAGGTATCTCAATACTCCGTCCTCCCCCTTTTTTGAATTCCTTTTTTTCATGGGAAAACCAACGGCATAAGCATATTTTTTGTAGAAGTTATACATATCTTCTTCATGCTTGAATAACATACCCACCTAAGGCACTTGTAACCCATCCCCTCCTGATGTTTCGTCTTCGACTACATTCACAAACTCCGTAATATTCTCAGTATCGGATTCCATCAAAACATCAACAGGCTCATCTTCTACGTCTTCCATACTTTATTCTACTGCAAAAATAAAAGGGTTATTACAGCAGTATTTTACAAGAACCATAAAAATTTGAAGGACAAATCCCAATTCGGATCTCTATCCCCATAAAAAATTGAAAGATTTCTCTCGATTAATTTGAATCTAACATACATATAATTATAACATGTAATGCAATGATGATTCATGCTATCCAAAGGATTCTTTCTTAATACAGGGATTTCGTTATCAGTAAACCGATCTAAAAATTTTTATGGGAGATTTTTCCAAGTGGAAATTTTATTGATATGGATTCATCTCTTAAAAAAAAAAATTGATAGCAAGTTGATGAGAGACAAATGGTGTATTTATTTCTAGTTTTCCTTATATCTTAATTATTATAGAAGCTCTTTCAGACGCCATGATAATCCCCAACATAGTTGTTGCTTTGTTCTATAAATGAAAGTTATGTTCAACGTGATAGCTCCTATTTACAATATTTAATCTGTTTTTACATCTGCCACTCTCTCAGGTAGGATAAATGATGCACACAACATAAATTTTCCAGGACGTACAAGCCAAACCCTGCGCATTTCTACCTCAAAACCAACCTCAGAAAGTGCAATTCTAATTCGTGATTATGGAATAGCATGGAAAAAAATTATTATATTATAAACTGATACACAAAGAACTCGTATAAACCAACCGATCCTATCTGTTTAACTTTTCCGGTCACTACTCCGACGGCTACCTTTCAAGCTCGGAAATCCCCAAAATCTCCTCCCACGTGGAAGTAAAAAATAAAAATGAAACTACCAATTTACCGTTTGAATACAATCATTCTGATAAAACATAATCACATTTTCCCTTCCATTCAATGAATAATATATACCCACTAACAATAAAACCTATTCATGTTTCTTGATTACTGAAGAAGAATTAAGTCCCGAATTTCTTAGTTTGAGTTTAAACTACAAAAAGGACTTAGTTCCTTACCAGTGAAGATGCACCGGTCAATGGGTGCGGTGGCGGGAGGGAGGGAAGGTGGGTTCGCAACTCAAGTTTTCACTCC